AATAGAAGACTAGGTCTCAACTACTGCCGAAGTTAGCATAATGATTCTACTCTGTTATTGCCCGATATTTTCCGAGATTAGGGAGCGTCACTTTTGGATAAATCGACTCTTCTACCTGGAGGTAGAAGGAGGATTTATCTGTGATATATCTTAATAATGATAAAAGACTAGGTCTCAACTACCGCTGAAGTTAGCATAATGATTATATTCTATTATTACCCGATATTTTCCGAGATTAAGGAGCATCACTTTCGAATAAATCGACTATTCTACCCTAAAGGACTTAGATGGACATGAAAAATGCTGAAGAGCGAAACCTTTCAAAGACCGAATTAGTATTTATTTTTTTTCTAAAAGACATAATCCCTAAATTTAGACCACCTCGGTAGGATGGTTAGAAGGACTCTAAACTGTAATGTTAATGAAATGGTAAGTGTTAGGAAAAACTTCAGAGAATGGTGGGTATAAAACCTTACATTGTGTATTTAAGACCTATACTAATCTATGGTAAACTTTTCTGATAGAAAACAATGGAAACCTAAACAAAAACTCCGATAATCAGACGCATTGAGGCAAGCTCGAATTGAACATGGGACTATCGTATAAAACCTAAGCAATACATTTTTGGACTACATATACCAAACTTTGACAGAGCCCTCGGAATATGAATACAATAAAGTGAAAACTGAGCTGCAAACTCTGATCTTCTCTGTCTATTCTAATGGCTAGATAGCTGTTATGGGTTCTGTGCTGTTATTTTGGTCTCCATTTGTTTACATAATAACTGCTAGATAGCTGTTCCAAACTGAAATTAACAATATCGATACATATGGAAAATTTTTGAGAACTAAATCAGGAGACATTGATCATTAACATCTACGTGAACAGTGTTGCATCTCACAAAATTCCTAACTCGATCGTAGAGAGCCAATTATGAAAGAGGATATTCATATTCCTCTCGGCACGATATCGAACATGATCGACGAATGGGTGTCAAACGAATCTAAACTCTGATTGTTCAATACTCTGATGTTGTACTACTCTCTCGTGAGGATCGGTCAATACTGACCTAGGGTATCATTCTTTATTGGTTTTAAATATAAGCTATATCTTATGGAGCTTCCCCATACTATCCTAGAACTGTAGCTACACTCATTCATACTAATGACCTCACAACATTTCATTTCTTAATATGTAATGTTTTCAAAATATATAAAACACAATGAAACTTAAAAGAAGTCTATTATGTACTCGTAGGTCTAATATTAGTTGGTTCCGCTATAAATAAATCTTCTAAGCGTTAGCTAAATATAGAATTAAATAAGTTGTCAAACTGTCTGTGAATTTCCCATATGAATACCCAGCTAAATGCTGTTCATTAGCTCACTATTCTTAAAAAATGTATTTATAAAACATTTGAATACAGCCTGCTTGCACTTATGAATAATTAATTTAACAATAGAAATTTGTATTATTTTTGTAACCAGAAATACACAAAATAAGTCCAATGAATTGTATATAAACCTGAGAATTTCAAATAAAGCAAAACATAACCCATTCAAAGTTCGAGTAGGAAGCATTGTGAAACTTAGTTACACATTTTCTAAAAATATCATAAATCGAAATGAATCAAGCCTGTTTATATCATAGAGCAAATCAAGTCCAAAGACACGATGCTGAGCAGATCATAAAGGAATATGCCAATATATTGCAATGGCGTTTAGATGGCACTGATGCTTTGTTAGATGTTGGTTCCGGTTCTGGGGATGTTTTAATGGATTTTATTTATAACATTATGCCACCTAAATTTGAGAGAATTGTGGGTTCAGATATTTCTCCCAAAATGGTGAATTACGCTAAAAACTGTTACTACACACATGAGAAATGTGATTTTAGAGTATTGGATATCGGCACGAAGAATGATATACCTAATGATATGAAAGAACAATTTGATCATGTTACCTCGTTCTATTGTCTACACTGGATACAAAATCAAAGGTAATTTTATATATGAAAAGAGAATTTAAATAATGTTATTATTCAATAATGATCTTTTCTATTACAGACAAGCTTTGCAAAACATTTATAATCTTTTAAAGGCCGAGGGTGGTGATTGTCTTTTAGTATTTTTGGCCTCTAATCCTATTTTTGATGTTTACAAACTGTTAAGTAAATCTACGAAATGGTCAACCTATATGAAAGATGTAGATCAATTTATCTCCCCTCTTCACTATTCCAAAGATCCGAAAACGGAATTCTCAGCTATGCTTAAGGAGGTGGGATTTTCAATTGTAAATATCGAGTTAAAACATAAAGTATATGTTTATGAGGGCTTAGAAATCCTTAAAGGTAAACTTAGTCATACTTTCTGATTTAAAAAATTAAGTTTCCAATCTTTATTTTCAACATTACAGACAATGTCAAAGCAGTTTGCCCTTTCCTGGAACGTATGCCTTTAAATTTGCATGACACCTTTATGGATGATTTTATAAATACCGTTACCAGTTTAGATTTAAAACTAGATCATCATTCCAATGAATTAGACAGCAAATTTAATTCGCCTTATAAATTGCTAATAGCCTATGCCCGAAAGTCGCCTCAAATCGCCAGAGGCAGTGTTATTGATATGATTAGTTCTGAAAAATTTGAGAAAGGCTTGAATTAGTTTAATAGTATTTAGTTCTAAATTGTGATAAATCATTTTGTTATAATGAGTTTTAGTTGAAATAGTAAATAAAGACATTAAAGATTAAATTATATAACTCATTTAATTTAATAATAATATTCCGATTTTCTGTATATAATTTTTTAATGGTCACTTTTGTATATCCGTATGTAATATATCGATATATTGTGTGATATATATATAATGAATTATACGCTTGGATGACACTTGCATTATCTCTTACTATCTCGTTTAGAAATATCCGGTATTCGTAGGTAATTTGAAGGCTATTTATAACTGCCTTCTTACAACAATAGATCTTTTGTCTTTATATATCCGATTCTGAATGTACAGATTTCTTGTTTACTATCTTTATCATATCGTAATGAATTTTGTGTGATTCGTAGTTTTCATACAAATTCCATTAAATTTTAGTGTAAAATTTGAATTTTATACCTCCCAGTGAAAAGAACCAAATTCCATGTAAGTGGATTTACAATATCGTTTGCGTAGGCGACAGTGTTAATTATCCAATTATACAGTTTAGTTAGTAGAGTGGTCACGGCCAAATTCCACAGCATGATACAGAACTCCCCTCTGAAGAGCCCCGATATTAACAAGTAGTTATTGGCACCTTCAATGTTTAAGGCGACCAAGGGAAAAAGATCTAGTAAATAAAGAGTTCAGCCTGAACTGAACTAGAATTGAACTAGAAACTAAACTAAAACTGAGCTAGAGCTGAACTAGAACTAGAACTGAACTAGAACTGAACTAGAACTGAACTAGAACTGAACTAGAACTGAACTAGAACTGAACTAGAACTGAACTAGAACTGAACTAGAACTGAACTAGAACTGAACTAGAACTGAACTAGAACTGAACTAGAACTGAACTAGAACTGAACTAGAACTGAACTAGAACTGAACTAGAACTGAACTAGAACTGAACTAGAACTGAACTAGAACTGAACTAGAACTGAACTAGAACTGAACTAGAACTGAACTAGAACTGAACTAGAACTGAACTAGAACTGAACTAGAACTGAACTAGAACTGAACTAGAACTGAATTAGAACTAGAACTGAACTAGAACTGAATTAGAACTAGAACTGATTCAAGATTAGGATGCATCACTTTTGAATACATAGACTATTCTACCTTTACATATGGAGGAGATATCTGCGATATATCTTAAACATATCCTCAACATTAATAATAATAGAAGACTACGTCTCGACTTCTGCCGAAGTTAGCATAATGATTATACTATGTTATTGCCCGATATTTTCGAGATTAAGGAGCGTCACTTTTGGATAAATCGACTCTTCTACCTTTAATATGGAGGATTTATCTGTGATATATCTTAATAATAATAAAAGACTAGGTCTCAACTACTGCTGAAGTTAGCATAATGATTATATTCTATTATTACCCGATATTTTCCGAGATTAAGGAGCATCACTTTCGAATAAATCGACTATTCTACCCTAAAGGACTTGATGGACATGAAAAATGCTGAAGAACGAAATCTTTCAAGGACCGATTTAGTATTTTTTTCTAAAAGACATAATCCCTGAATTTAAACCACCTCGGTAGGATGGTTAGAAGGACTCTAAACTGTAATGTTAATGAAATGGTAAGTGTTAGGAAAAACTTCAGAGAATAGTGGGTATAAAACCTTACATTGTGTATGTCGCTGGCTGCGACTTGAGCCTTATGTTGAGGACAGCGAGTTTAACAAACACCCAAAAAGAACCACAAATTTGTTTAAAATTATGATGCAAGGGTGTAAACGTTTATTTCTAATAAAAAATTTAAATTATTACAAAAATAATATTTATATAAATATGAACCACTTACCGCAGTCTTTGTCCCCAACAAACTAAACTTTAATATTAAAGCCAGTAAATACTGAGCCTACAAATTTCTTTCTGTTATGTATATTTACTAACTGTTACATTCCAAACAAACAAAAAACTTAACGAAAATACTGCAGTAGAATTTAGGGACAAAGTGCGTTTAGTTCGTAAACAAATAAGAACAAAAGGGAATAAAAAGAACAATATAAAAAATCCTAACGGTCATATGAACAAAATAATAACAACAATGATCATACAATTATAAACAACATTAAGGTGGCTCAATAAATATAAATCAAATTAAAGAAATAAAAGAAATTTAAAGGGACAAATAAAGAAATTAAATAAAACAAATAAATCAAATAAAGAACAAATAAATAATTTAAACAAAACAAACTAAATAAAATAACAATAAATATTAGCTCCTGCATGAGCCATTGGGCGACATCCCCACCCCCGTGGATCGGCTACGATTCACTATTCCAAATCAAGGATAGCCAGCTTGGAAACAGGGCGCATTAAACATCCAGTACTAGTGCGAATATTAGCACGACGAATAATACCATCTCTCCCTTTAAATACCTCTTCAACTTTACCACGCTTCCAATCTCTACGAGACACGACTGGATCACAAATTAGGACCAAATCACCAACAGCAATGGGCTTCGTACGTTGACACCACTTGGAACGTCTAGTCATCGTTGGTAAATATTCTCTTATCCACCGCTTCCAGAAGTGATCGCGTAACTGACGGGAAATGCGCCACTGCTTTCTCAGGACCATTGGTTGAACATTTATTTCCCCAGCAGAAGTTTGCGATGTATTAGGGCAACCCAGCAAAAAATGATTCGGCGTTAGTGGTTCCTCATCTTCATGGCTCAAGGGCAAGTGCGTTAAGGGACGAGAATTCACAATATTTTCCGCTTCAATAAGGAAACTTTGCAACGTATGTTCTCGGGGGGCCGATTCTTTTAAAGTTGACTGCAAGACACGTTTGACACACTGGACCATACGTTCCCATATACCACCTTCCGCAGGATTGTGGGGACAATTGAACTGCCAGTCTATACCCTTCGTAGAGCATTCATCTTGAATACGAGCCACATCAAATACTTCACTGAACCGCTTGGCTACTTGATCAGCACCAACAAAATTTTTTCCATTGTCGCTCCTGAGTCTTGTAGGAAGGCCACGTCTATTTATAAAGTTGCGTATGGCAAGAATACACGCATCTGTGGACAAATCAAAGGCGACTTCTAAATGGATGGCTCTTATGGTCAGGCAAGTAAATAAAGCCACCCAGCGTTTTTCATGGCGACGACCAATTGTAATAGTAAGTGGGCCAAAGTAATCCAAACCAGTGTAGGAAAAGGGACGAATATATGGAGTCAACCTGTCCTTTGGCAAAGAACCCATAAGTGGTGGCACCGGCAATGTACGACGAAATCTGCAAATAAAACAATTAGAAACACGCTTATGCAAAATTTTTCTAAGGCGAGGAATCCAAAATGATCTTCTAATTTCACATATTGTGGATTCAAAATTTTGGTGTTTCATCTTTTCGTGTACATGGGCCACATACAACTCGGTAACAGGATGGAACGACGGTAATATAATCGGACGCCTTATATCCAATGGTAACCAGCTAGCAGCATCAACACGACCATAGACACGAAGTAATGAATTTTCATCCATATAAGGGCACAGGGCGTACAATTCACTACTTTTGGGCAAACTACCTTCATTTTCAATTATTTCAATTTCTTTGCAAAAATGCTCTCGTTGAGCTTGACGGCAGAGCAATATTTCAGCATTTTTTAACTCGACTGCAGTTAAACCATTCTCCTCATCAGGACTAATCTTCTTTCGGCAGCGGTTTATAAAACGTAACATCCAAGCTACTGTACGTTTTAGTTTCAAATAGGACGAAAATCTTGTATAATTAATAACTGCATCAGTATTTACCAATAGAGCAAATTTTGGACGAAGTTCTTCCGAATCTTGTTCGTTTGGGGCTACGTTTACCTTTTGGGGCCAATTATCTTCAGAATCATAAAGAAATTTAGGACCATTCAACCAGCGGGAATCATCAGAAAAATCAACTTGGCTTTTCATTCTTGTAGTTTCATCCGCAACATTTAGATTTGTTGGCAGCCATCTCCAATCTGCAGGGCTAGTAGATTCAAGTATCTCCGTTATTCTGTGGGCAACAAAAGGTTTGTAACGACGACTTTCTGAGCCAATCCAATTTATTACAGTTGTAGAATCACTCCAACAAATAATCCTTGATACCTTAACGGAATGTTCCTTCAAAATTGTAACCATTAACCGAGTACCCAAAACAGCAGCCTGTAGTTCGAGCCGAGGAATACTCATAATCTTCAAAGGGGCACATCTAGATTTGGCAGCCACAAGAGACACTTCAATTTTATTATGGGCATTTATTGACCTCCAGTATGACACGGCTCCCAATGCGTCTTCACTGGCGTCGACGAAAACATGTAGTTCCAGGCGGTAAGGAACACCATTTCCAAAATAACACCGAGGTACTTTGACCTTTTCAACATTTTGAAGACCTTGGCGCCAATTATTCCACACATCAACAATTTCACCGGGCAGTGCTTCATCCCAACCAATGCTATGTCTCCAAACTTCTCGCATCAACAACTTTGCGGTTATCATATAGTGGCTCAAAAACCCAAGTGGGTCGAAAACGGACATAACCACACTCAACAGCTCTCTTTTAGTTGGAGACCTTACACCTTCCATAACACCAGCATTCACATTGTGGAACTTTAAATTGAACCTGAAAGTATCATCTTTTGGTTGCCAATACATACCAAGTACCTTTTCCGTTTTTAGCTCATTAAAATCGCTGGAAAAATTCACCGGTTTCTCCACAGTACCTTTAAGAGCCACAATTACCTCCGAAGAGTTAGATGAAAAGTTACGTAGTTCAAACCCAGCTGCTTTATGGATGTTGCGTACTTGTTGCGAAATTTCAATGGCCCTTGCAGAGCTAGGAAAACTATCCACAAAGTCATCCACATAATGATGATCCAATATAGACTTCACTGCACGAGGATATTGATCACGATAACACAGAGCATTTGTTTCTTTAACATAATGAGCCACACAAGGCGAACAAGCAGCACCAAAAGTCATAACAAGCATTTCATAGCAATCGGGTGGTTCTCTATTATCTTCACGCCAAAGGAACCTTTGGGAACATCTATCTTCAGGAGCCACAAGTACCTGGTGAAACATTTCTTTTATGTCCCCGCACACTGCTACAGCACCAACACGAAAATTGAACAAAACAGATGGCAACGGCTTATATTGCTGGGGGCCTTTAAGCAGGTTTGAATTGAGAGAAACACCTTCAACGGATGCGGCAGCATCAAACACCAACCGAATTTTTCCTTGCTTATTTGGGTTGACCACTCCAAAATGCGGAAGATACCAAGTTCTGGGGCATACATCAGCAGCTTCTATGGGCGACAGTTTACGTACATAATTCTTCGACAAATAATCCTTCATTATGGTTTTATAGGCGACACCAAATTCAGGGCATCTTTTCATTTTTCGTTCAATGCCAACGAGCCTATTAAGAGCCATATGGTAACTGTCTGGAAGCACAACATCATCAGTACGCCACAAGAGCCGAGTTTGGAATCGTCCATCAATTTTTATTGTTGTTTCTTTCATAATTTGCCGAGCCCGTAAGTCGTCCTTCGATTCTATGACTGGCAATATCTTCACGCCAAAATTCTCCGTTTCGAAATAATTTGCCACCAAATCATAGAGTCTTTGCTCAGGCTGAACCGACAACAAACACAAATGGGAATTAGACGACTTACCCTTCATTTTACCAAATACGACCCATCCTAAAGGAGTATTGGCAGCATATGGACCATTTTCTTCCAGAGGCACAATTTCATCGGGAAGCCCCAAATGGCAATGATCCAATCCAATAAGCACTTTAGGGACTACGTCGTCGTATAATTTAATAGGCAAACCAGGATGATCACTTAAATCCATATTTAAACTTTGGGCCGGCAATTTTAAATTTGAAACTCCATAAACATTATTTAACGCATATTTCCTCTGCCTACCAATTCCACTTACTTGCAAATGAACCACAGTCGCCATTTCTTGTGACGCCTTACCAGCATACCAGTGTAGATTTAATCTGCTTTGTTGCCCCTGAAGACCCAGTTGCTTCACCAAGGAGCTGTCCACCATAGTAACCGAAGAACCTTCATCCAACAACGCATATGTTTCGACTTTGTTACTAGGACCATAAAGCACAATTGGCACCACTCGAAATAACAACACACTTTTATCTGTAGCTTTGGACACACAACTAAGCACAGACTCATTTCCATTCGATGAACCACTTGGACCAGGAGTCTCAGATGAAACCGTATTATTAATTTTGACATCATGCAATAATTTGTTATGTTTTCTTAGGCAACCATCAACGGGACACGTCTTACGATAACGACAAAATCGGCTTGAATGTCCACTACCGAGACACGAAAAACATAACCTCAATTTCTTAACTTCACTCCAACGATTAGGCACACTCAATGAACCAAATTTTTTACACTCAAATATTTTATGATTTGCCTGGCACAGAGAGCATTCTTGTTTATGTTGACCATCAGCGGCATGGAGGACAACTTTTCTTTTTGGTTCATTATTTTGACGATTTCCACTAGAACTTTGCACCATTCTTACTAAATCAGCAACACCTTTGAGCCACCTACTAAAATCCAAAACTGTAGGATATGGCTTTATAGTTGAGGCGTAGCAGGCCCACTCCATCCGTTTACTCATAGGAATTTTCCCGACCAGCTCTTCCATCAGTGTAGGATTTGCTAAATGCTGTTGTCCATTGGCAGTTTCCAAAAAGGCGGCTAGATTCTGCACTTTAACAGCAAGAGGCACAAGTTTGTCGATAGCACTTTCACTAATGGGCGAAATTTCTTTAACTTGTTGCAGCTGACAACGGATGAGCATTTCGGGCCGACCATATTGAAAACACAATTGTTCCATAACCATACTCACATTATCTGGATGGATCAGCAACGACTTCACACATTCCCGTGCATCGCCCTTCAAAGCCTTTTGGAGCCTCAAACAATTTTCAAAATTATTATAATTATAAACGGCAGTAGACTGGTTAAAAGCTGTTGAAAACATGGGCCAATCTTCAGGGACGCCATTAAATTCCGGCAAGTCATAAATTTTTCTATGCACCAGCATCGAGCCACCATTTTGAGACAACGGCATATTTGACGGCATCAAAAAATTATTTTCATTACAGCTTACGGAAGAAAATGGCGTCCGACGTTCAGCACAGTCGACGTTGGCTGAGGCAGAATTGTCAACGTTGGCTTCACTGGTACCCGTTACTGGCGGCGCCATATTGGATGGCTGTGGCATGGCGGCTGAAGAGCTTGACGTCGAATTATTGTTCATGGCGATGGACAAAGCACGCTGGGCATTTAACAACTGGGCCTGGAGAACATTTATCTGGCTTTGGAGAACTTCTAAATTGTTGTTGTAGCTCGACTGGGGCAACGGCGGCTGAACAGCAGAGCTCAAAAAATTTTGTTGGTTAGGTTGAACACTGGCGGCAACTGTGGTGGCTACGGTACACGTCGTTCCGGCAACGATGGAACTTGCAGGCACCTCGGCAATAGAAGGAGCAACTTTAGATGGTTGGGTTGAATAGGCGACACTGGTACTTACGTTTGGTGGAGGCACTCCAGCGGCAGTGGGAGTCGATGATGTTCCAGCGGCAAGGGAACTGGCAGGCAGGGCAGAGACTTCAGCGGCAGAAGCAGTCATTTGTTGGGAACCAACTTTTGTTCCGGCAGACGAGGAACCACTAGTAGGCTGATTCATTGTTGACTGTAAGCGCTGACTTTTTCTTGCAGGGGAGCGTTGCATGATGAACCACAAATACACAAAAGGTTTCTCAAAAAACCACAAAAAATTTCACACCAAATTTATTTTATGTTCCGGCAGGCAAGGAACCTCTCAAATAAATTCACACAAAACTTCTTAATGTTCCAGCAGGCAAGGAACCACAAAATTATTCCAATTGAAATTTGTTCCGACGGACAAGGAACCACAAATTCACACAAAAGTACAAATAAAATTTGTTCCGGCAGGCAAGGAACCGCTTACATAAATTTACACAAAAACGTATTAATGTTCCGGCGGGCAAGGAACCACAAAAAACATTTAAATCCAATAAAATTCGTTCCGGCAGGCAAGGAACTACAATCGCACCAAAGATTGCGAAATAAAATTTGTCGCTGGCTGCGACTTGAGCCTTATGTTGAGGACAGCGAGTTTAACAAACACCCAAAAAGAACCACAAATTTGTTTAAAATTATGATGCAAGGGTGTAAACGTTTATTTCTAATAAAAAATTTAAATTATTACAAAAAATAATATTTATATAAATATGAACCACTTACCGCAGTCTTTGTCCCCAACAAACTAAACTTTAATATTAAAGCCAGTAAATACTGAGCCTACAAATTTCTTTCTGTTATGTATATTTACTAACTGTTACATTCCAAACAAACAAAAAACTTAACGAAAATACTGCAGTAGAATTTAGGGACAAAGTGCGTTTAGTTCGTAAACAAATAAGAACAAAAGGGAATAAAAAGAACAATATAAAAAATCCTAACGGTCATATGAACAAAATAATAACAACAATGATCATACAATTATAAACAACATTAAGGTGGCTCAATAAATATAAATCAAATTAAAGAAATAAAAGAAATTTAAAGGGACAAATAAAGAAATTAAATAAAACAAATAAATCAAATAAAGAACAAATAAATAATTTAAACAAAACAAACTAAATAAAATAACAATAAATATTAGCTCCTGCATGAGCCATTGGGCGACAGTGTATTTAAGGCCTATACTAATCTATGGTAAACTTTTCTGATAGAAAACAATAGAAACCTAAACAAAAACTCCGATAATCAGACGCATTGAGGCAAGCTCGAATTGAGCATGGGACCTTCGTATAAAACCTAAGCAATACATTTTTGGACTACATATACCAAACTTTGGCAGAGCCCTCGGAATATGAATACAATAAAGTGAAAACTTAGCTGCAAACTCTGATCTTCTCTGTCTATTCTAATGGCTAGATAGCTGTTATGGGTTCTGTGCTGTTATTTTGGTCTCCATTTGTTTACATAATAACTGCTAGGTAGCTGTTCCAAACTGAAATTAACAATATCGATACATATGGAAAATTTTTCAGAACTAAATCTGGAGACATTGATCATTAACATCAACGTGAACAGTGTTGCATCTCACAAAATTCTTAACTCGATCGTAGAGAGCCAATTATGAAAGAGGATATTCATATTCCTCTCGGCACGATATCGAACATGATCGACGAATGGGTGTCAAACGAATCTAAACTCTGATTGTTCAATACTCTGATGTTGTACTCTCTCGTGAGGATCGGTCAATACTGACCTAGAACTGAACTAGAACTGAACTAGAACTGAACTAGAACTGAACTAGAACTGAACTAGAACTGAACTAGAACTGAACTAAACTGAACTAGAACTGAACTAGAACTAAACTAGAACTGAACTAGAACTGAACTAGAACTGAACTAGAACTGAACTAGAACTGAACTAGAACTGAACTAGAACTGAACTAGAACTGAACTAGAACTGAACTAGAACTGAACTAGAACTGAACTAGAACTGAACTAGAACTGAACTAGAACTGAACTAGAACTGAACTAGAACTACTGAACTAGAACTGAACTAGAACTGAACTAGAACTGAACTAGAACTGAACTAGAACTGAACTAGAACTGAACTAGAACTGAACTAGAACTGAACTAGAACTGAACTAGAACTGAACTAGAACTGAACTAGAACTGAACTAGAACTGAACTAGAACTGAACTAGAACTGAACTAGAACTGAACTAGAACTGAACTAGAACTGAACTAGAACTGAACTAGAACTGAACTAGAACTGAACTAGATACTAGAACTAGAACTGAACTAGAACTGAACTAGAACTGAACTAGAACTGAACTAGAACTGAACTAGAACTGAACTAGAACTGAACTAGATCTGAACTAGAACTGAACTAGAACTGAACTACAACTGAACTAGAACATAACTAGAACTGAACTAGAAAAGTGCAGAACAAGAACTGAACTAGAACTGAACTAGAACTGAACTAGAACTGAACTAGAACTGAACTAGAACTGAACTAGAACTGAACTAGAACTGAACTAGAACTGAACTAGAACTGAACTAGAACTGAACTAGAACTGAACTAGAACTGAACTAGAACTGAACTAGAACTGAACTAGAACTGAACTAGAATTGAACTAGAACTGAACTAGAACTGAACTAGAACTGAACTAGAACTTTTACGTTTAGGGGAAATTAAAAAAACATTTTTAAATCAAAAATATGAACCTGAATGAAAAATTCCCTGCTATGTAAGAAATTTGACTTAAATTATGAGAAACCCCTCCCATTGGAACAACCCTCACAAATATTGTTATAATCGAATATTAAGTACACAAAACTAAATAAACAACGTTAAAAAGGCAACACCAACCCAATACTAAAGAAAAACTAACTGTAATTTAATAAAATCCTTATAGTTTATATTTTTCTTATTACTCATACTTATATCAGGTCCTTAAATAACGAAGTAACGTTTATACCCTCGAAACAAAGTGATTTTTAATGGATTCACACATACTCATATGAGGTATCGACTATTTAAAGAATATCTGTGCAATTACTTGCATACCAGGGTTAGCCGTACACTAAACAAAGTTGGGAATATTATTTTTTTTTTTTTTTTTTTTTTGAATCCTGTGTATCACTAAATAATGCAATTTTTATAGGATTAAAAATCATTTATATTATTCCAGTTACTACAAATCCCCGGGACCTTTAAAAACGGGTCAATATTAGAGCACCGGTTGATTCTGATCTGAATTGTTAAGAACTTATTAGAATAGACCTGCGAATTTTTAAAAGCTCTAAAAAGGCTCTAATGGGGTCGAAAGTCGTGATAATGACCATGTAATGTTCAAGAATACTTCCTAAATGGAATTGAACAATTTCCAATTTACACTTAAAAAATCCCACACCAATTAAAAAAAAACCCTATTTATAGCTCACACATACTTCAGCAGACACTTGGAAAATTATTTAAAGTTTATCTATTTACTTTATTGTTGTTTGTATTTCGAAAATAAAACTTTGCATATGTTTAAATAAAATTGAATTTGAATTTTAAATAACAACTACAACAACAGTAAATGGCAACGTTAGAATCCCAACACTAGAACAATGAAAGGGGTAATAAAATCTTAAAAACTTTTAGTCAAACTCAAGTAAAACCAACCCAAAACACAACACAGAAATAGCAAATGAACAACAAGTTGTTAAAACAATGACGGAATAGACTCAACTGCAAAACGCACGAATGCTTGGGAACACACAACAACAATAACAACCAAAAAGAGTGGAAATGAGTTTTTAATGTCCCAAAAGGGAATAACTAAGTAGAATTAGAATATTTTAAAATCAACAAAGGAAAAGGATACAAACAATACGTTGTATTGTTATGAAATAAAATGCATAGTATACATTTAGGCAGCTAGTTATGGGGTTATGCATACATACATATGTATATGAAAAAGAAAGGGTTTTAATTGTAGGATTTAAAATACAAAGTAAACCAATGATTTGTTGTTATTGATTAAAACGGACATGTATTCTTAGTAGAAATTTGAATTTCTCATACCACTATTTTTTTAAGACTTTTAACATATTTGTGTGTCTATTCAACTGTCTATGTGTTTGTGTAAATATCAACTAATCGTTAAAAACTTTAAGGACTTATTTGTCTTTTCCGTAAACACAGCTACAGTAGATATGTTTTATACCAGCAGTTCTGGGTTTCTTTCCCGGACCGAACTCGGCGGAACATACTTCATGATAGAGTTCGTTCTAGTTCAGGTTAGCTCAGTTATAGTTCAGTTCTCGTTCAGTTCTAGTTCAGTTCTACTTCAGTTCTAGTTCAGTTCAGTTCAGCTCTAGTCAGTTCTAGTTCAGTTCTAGTTCAGTTTAGTTCAGTTCTAGTTCTTTCTAGTTCAGTTTAGTTCAGTTCTAGTTCAGTTCTAGTTCAGTTCTAGTTCAGTTCTAGTTCAGTATAGTTCAGTTCTAGTTCAGTTCTAGTTCCAGTTCTAGTTCAGTTCGAGTTAAGTTTAGTTCAGTTCTAGTTCAGTTCTAGTTCAGTTTCTAGTTCAGTTCTAGTCAGGTCTAGTTCAGTTCTAGTTCAGTTCTAGTTCAGATTTATAGTCAGTTCTAGTTTCAGTTCGTTCTAGTTCAGTTCTAGTTCAGTTCTAGTTCAGTTCTAGTTCAGTTCTAGTTCAGTTCTAGTTCAGTTCTAGTTCAGTTCTAGTTCAGTTCTAGTTCAGTTCTAGTTCAGTTCTAGTTCAGTTTCTAGTTCAGTTCTAGTTCAGTTCTAGTTCAGTTCTAGTTCAGTTCTAGTTCAGTTCTAGTTCAGTTCTAGTTCAGTTCTAGTTCAGTTCTAGTTCAGTTCTAGTTCAGTTCTAGTTCAGTTCTAGTTCAGTTCTAGTTTCAGTCTAGTTCAGTTCTAGTTCAGTTCTAGTTCAGTTCTAGTTCAGTTCTAGTTCAGTTCTAGTTCAGTTCTAGTTCAGTTCTAGTTCAGTTCTAGTTCAGTTCTAGTTCAGTTCTAGTTCAGTTCAGTTCAGTTCTAGTTCAGTTCTAGTTCAGTTCTAGTTCAGTTCTAGTTCAGTTCTAGTTCAGTTCTAGTTCAGTTCTAGTTCAGTTCTAGTTCAGTTCTAGTT